CCTTTTCGTGATTTGATGTCTTGTCTGGCGCTCAATCTTCCACCAATTTATGATTGTATTCTCAAAGGCTACAAAACCATCCCGAGTCCTCCGATTAAACTCAAGTGATCGAAAAATTTCTTCTTTTTTTTTGAAAGCCAGTTTACAGAATTGAAAGCGGTATGCTTCGATGGGATCGACCAAAAAATAATTCACATCTAGTCACTCTTTATAAAATTTATATCAGTGATAACTCGAGAAGCCGAACTGTAGAATTAATTCGAGAAACTACGGTTATTTTTCTATATTTTTTTGAAAATAATGACTTTTTAGAGTGCAAATACACGTTTTAATTTGACAAATCTCCGCCTTGGATCTCATTATTCTGTTTATGTGATTGCTGAGTCGTTAAGTGGAAGATCGCAAGCTAGTGAACAATTAAATATGGGAGGTTTGTTGTAAAAAGGGGAGTGGGACAAATGCTACCTTTTTTTTGCGCACCTTTTTTTCCGCACCTTGCCCATTAGCGCACCTTTTTTCGCGTTTTAAAAAAGCTCTAAAAAGCTGATATTAACCAATTTCTATTCCAAATGTTGTTTTTCTAGGTAATTTTAGGGCGTAGAATTCAATTTTGAATTTTGACATAACAGAGCTTGTGAAACCAATTTGAAAGACAAAACGGCTAGATCAAATTACAGAAAATTGTCGATTTTTCTCTTTGTATAACTCCGTCCGTTCGCTTCCACAAGCTCTGATATGCCAAAATTTCGATTCTACGCCCTAAAATTACCTAGAAAAACAACTTTTGGAATAGAAATTGGTTAATATCAGCTTTTTAGAGCTTTTTTAAAACGCGAAAAAAGGTGCGCTAATGGGCAAGGTGCGGAAAAAAAAGGTGCGCAAATGTCCGGGTGCGCAAAAAAAAGGTCGCATTTGTCCCACTCCCGTAAAAAGCCATATTTTTCACTCCAAACAACATTTTCAGTATCTTCTGATAGTGAATGGCCTAAAGTGGTGACCTCAAGTGATTCATCAAATGTATTTCTGAGCTGTGCTCTTCGTACTCGACACGAACGGGCTCATATCGGTTTTATTTAGATAATATTCTTTAAAGAAAAAGTTATAGATTGGGAAAAACAAAGCGCTTCGAAAAGTTGGACTCGATTAGAGGGTGTTCGATATCAAAAGCATAGCACACGATCTCTGGATGAGCCAGTCATTTTTGCAGCTCTGAGAATAAGCCGTCCAAAAGCTAGCGATAATGGCACATACAGATGTGTAGTACGGTAATGGCTTATTAAAATCTATTGGGTTGGGGAGAATGAGTCGGCGCCCAACTTTAAAGGGACTTTTTGTACACATAAAGCCTTCTTTAAACATACGTTTGGTTTCATCAAAAGGATCCACTATTTCTCTACAAAATGACTTTTGAGAGATTCCACAAAGCTTTTCTTTCGTCGAGTTTATGAACTTCCAAACGCAGCTGGTTAAAATGGCAAAGAGTCCGACTCATCATTTGAACAGTTTCTTTCACATAAACCTTCTTTGGTGTTTATATAAAAAAAGATAGAGCACATTCAATTACTTAAGTTGCCAAATTTGCAGGAAGATCCCACCAATGGTTTTTTCTAGATGACACTTTGTAGTTTTTGTGAAAAAATGGCTTTTTCTTGAGCGGAGGCGCTGTTTGAGGTTTCTTTTAAATGCCATTTTGTAGAGAATTAGTTAACCATTCTACTGATATCAAACGCATATTATTTGACGAAGTCGAATAGAAGTTTTAGACATTTTTTTGATTTTCGGCGCCGACTCATTCTCCCCAACCCAATAACTCGAATCAAGCATTCTAATAGCCGTTCTATTCGAGTTTTTACGGCACTTCAGGCATAATCATCAAACCTTTAGAGGCCACGCTTCAGTCATGGGTGAAGTAAATCTAGTAGTCATGTCATCGACAAAAGGAACAAGATCCCCTCTACCAGCTTCTCCACCAGAGACTCCATTTGAGTGCTGCAGTCGGCAGATCACACGTCCCAATTGCACATCGTATTGCACTATAGGTATTGAAAATTCTCTTTTCCTCAACATTTCCATTTTTAGGCACTTCACCTCGTCACCAGATCCGTCCCGGTGCCTATCTACCGTATCACAATTGCAGCGATGAGATGCATCACTTGTTACAATGCACTCTTACCGATGCGAAGAGTGCCTCGTGTTGTATCTTTAAAAAGGTTTATCTCAAAAGTTTGGCCTGTCTAACTAGGGAAAAGCACGAACTCAAGGTGAGCTTTTGGCTGGACACCTAGTGCACTTTATAGAATCGGGTATGAGGAATCCGAATCTGAAATCTTTATAGAGTCGGGTATATTACCGAATCTGAAATCAAAATCTGCCAAATGGCATGAGGCGTGTAAAAATTCAATCGAAAATTTGGCGTCGGATGCTTTAAAACGTTCCTTCCTAGAGTACGGAACGTGTGTTGGTGGGCTAGTGGGCAACGCTGACAGGATCAGGGTTCGGTCGCGGATACGGCTTTCGGTTTTTCTTTTTCTTTTGGATCAACTTCTAGCTAATTAAGATATTTTTCAGATTCGGATTTCTCATTCCTATAAAGTGCACTAGGTGTCGAGATAAAAGCTCACCTAGTAAGGGGTATTTTTTGATGTTGTTTTGATTGACCCTTTACTTCAAGGTCGTTCTCCTCTCATCTTGATCCCCTAATATCCGATCCAGTTCTCATCACGAGACACTTTGTTTTTTTTTCCTTGCAAAACATCAAGTTGAAACTCATCTGATCATCAAGATCATTGTCCTACATTTCCCAGGTTCCACATCAATGTCTGGGGCTTTGTGATCGATCGTTCACTCTCAAAAACTCGTTTGATGCGGTGATTTGTATGAGCTATTTTACTGATATCTTACAATGCCATGAAGATTCAATGAAGGTAATAGATAGAAAAGAAATGAAATCTAAATAGAATTTTAGAATTTACCAGCAGCAGTGCCAGGACTTCGACTCTCAACGACGGATGATGTGACGATCGCCGAATGGAAACCGGTTTCCGGGGTTTCTGGATATTCTGTCTACTATAAAAGAAAATGTTTGTGCATTTTTTGAGCAAAAACTTTAAAATAATGCAAAAGTGTTGATCTTTCCAGTGGCAACTCAATGGAAATCACTCCAAATCTCGACAACAACGGCAAAATTGCATGGAGCTGAAATGATCGCGCTTCAATCAAGTTTGTCACAAAAAATGTTGCATAAATTTGTATTAATTAAGTGTTAAATGATTATTTAAATATAAATCAATATTAACTATTGTTTATTATATATATATATCGTAAATACTGTAATAGTACCCCACCCCCCCCGTACAGTCGCGTAGTCGCAAAAGTTTTTTAGTATTTCATTTTTTTCGAAGCGCCCGTACTTTCAAAAAATGTGTCTTTGGTATCAAAAAATAGCCCTGAATTTCAGCTATTTTTTGATACCTAAGCGCGCATTGTAGCATAAACCAATGTCGAGAAAAACCTCGTTCAAAGCTAGACTACCCAACACTCCGCACCGTCATTCTGGGGGTGGGGTACTATTACAGTATTTACGGTATATAGATACTTTATTCAGAACCTGAGATAAAGTGCGCTAGATTTAAGATTAAAACACATAACACGAAAAGGGCCGATAAAAAGCAACACGTGTATACATGTGTTGCTTTTTATCGGCCTTTTTATATGTAATATATGGGTAGCACAGAAAACGTCAAGGATCCACTAGAGCTTCAAGATCAAGATCATCTAGAGATAATTTAAAGGTTTCGAGACTATTGGACTCTCTCAAAACTCTGGGAAGTCGATTCCAAAAAAAAATTTAGACAATGCCATTGGATGGTCATCACCGATACGAAAAATCTACGAAAACAACGAATGGATTACTGATTACGAATGAAAATATCACAAAAAAAAAAACTAATTAATTATGAGAAAAGTGAGATGAAAATATTGTATAATATTTTTGGGAGTGGGACAAATGCGATCTTTTTTTCCGCACTTAGCCCATTTGCGCACCTTTTTTCGCGTTTTAAAAAAGCCCTAAAAGCTAATATTAACCAATTTCTATTCCAAATGTTGTTTTTCTAGGTAATTTGAGGGTTGAAAATCTGTAGAATCGAAATTTTGACATATCAGAGGTTGTGGAAACAAACGGATGGAGTTATATACAAAGAGAAAACACAATTTTCTTTCTGTACAATTTTCTGTAATTTGATTTCTGTAAATTAGCGGTTTTGTCTTTCAAATTGGTTCTGTTTGATCAAAATTTGAATCTCTTTTAACAAACCAAATTTCTTTTAACAATTGTCACCTTATCACCTTCTTTCAAATTGGTTCCACACGCTCTGTTATGTCAAAATTTGAATTCTACACCCTCAAATTACCTAGAAAAACAACTTTTGGAATAGAAATTGGTTAATATTAGCTTTTAGGGCTTTTTTAAAACGCGAAAAAAGGTGCGCAAATGGGCTAAATGCGGAAAAGAAGGTGCGCAAATGTCCGGGTGCGCAAAAAATGTCGCATTTGTCCCACTCCCATATTTTTAGATTCCTAGTTGATTTCCCGATAGATTCCTATATGTTATTGGAATTTTGTTATTAGAAAATCTGTAGCCATTTTTTTTTCGCTGTACATTTTTGGATTGGATTGGATTTTTTGTGACAGGGTCTACGATCTCAATGTAAATTTCGATTTTTTTTTTCCTTTTTTGGGTAATTTTTATCAATAAGAGATTCCGATTTGGTATAAAAACCGAAAAAAATCACAACAAAAACACCTCAAAACGATAACGGGAAAGGGAAAGAAAAAAAGAAAAAAAAGCATAACAACGACAAAAACCCTGAATAAATAATAAATCTGGAAACGTGATGCTAATCGTGAAAATCCCCGAAGTGGATTGAATAGTAGACATTTCCACATTTTAAAGAAAAGAAAATAAAAAAATTAAGATATTATGCATTCGTTTATGTTCAATGAGTGACTTCTTTTGCTGGTCGAGTTGCTCCCTGAGCTCCCTGAAAAAGATTTTCTGAGCCATTTTGTATAATAGGATTCCTGTATAATGTATAATATAATAGGATTCCTAGTTGATTTCCCGATAGATTCCTATATGCTATTAGAAATTTTGTTATTAGAAAATCTGTAGCCATTTTTTTTCCAAAGATTTTCAATGTTTTTTCGTTTTCTGGAGAGCAAATTCATTGGTATTTTTAAAAAATAATTACAGTTAACTAACAAGGGAACCTCTTAAACTTATCCTCAAGCCCAAGAATGATTTAGGTACCATTCGATTCGGAACAAAAAATTAGCTATCCGAATCTAGTGTCCAAACTTGCTTTTAGGGCTTTAGAGCGGAGATATTTGAGGTTAAAGTTAGTGAATGTTGACAGCTTTTCGTGAATTCCTAAGAGATTCCCCCTTGTGAGCTCATTTGGGAGTGGGACAAATGCGACCTTTTTCTTGCGCACCCGGACATTTGCGCACCTTTTTTTCCGCACCTTGCCCATTAGCGCACCTTTTTTCGCGTTTTAAAAAAGCTCTAAAAAGCTGATATTAACCAATTTCTATGCCAAATGTTGTTTTTCTAGGTAATTTTAGGGCGTAGAATCGAAATTTTGACATATCAGAGCTTGTGGAACCAATTTGAAAGAAGGCGATAAGGTAACAATTGTTAAAAGAAATTTAGTTCTTATTTAGTTCCTATTTAGTTCCGATTTGGTTCCTATTTAGTGCCTTTATAGTTTCTATTTAGTTTCCAATTACCAATTTCAAAGACAAAACGGCTAGGTCAAATTACAGAAAATTGTTGATTTTTCTCTTTGTATAACTCCGTCCGTTCGCTTGCACAAGCTCTGATATGCCAAAATTTCGATTCTACGCCCTAAAATTACCTAGAAAAGCAACTTTTGGAAAATAAATTGGTTAATATTAGCTTTTTAGAGCTTTTTTAAAACGCGAAAAAAGGTACGCTAATGGGCTAAGTGCGGAAAAAAGGTGCGCAAATGTCCGGGTGCGCCAAAAAAAAAGGTCGCATTTGTCCCACTCCCGCTCATTTCCATCAACAGCGACACCGTCATCAACATACGCGTAAACAAGGAATTATTTCATAAAAATTCTTTTGCAGTGTTTGAATTTAGCAAGCCTATTCTTCATTTTTTTTTTCTGTTTCCACTGATTGTCATCAGTGGAAACATGCTGCTTATTTTTGGAGAATTTACGGGTATTTTATGACAAATCTTTCCATTATTAAAGCTTCAATGATTAAGAAAAATTCAGATTTGTCGCTTTATTAGCAGATTATATCTTGCTCTTGACCTGATTTAGGTAGTACCTGAATAACAATGCGTGGTTTAACCATTGACGATGTTCTTCTCTGTGAATCCTTGTGCACCTCATACCGAAGCGGATCCGTATCAGGAATTTTGAGTTTTGCTTTCAATATTTGTCCAACTCTCAAATTCACGTCATCCTTTTCCGCCTCTTTCGTCCATAGGGATACCTAAAAATGCTTTTTTGGGAGTGGGACAAATGCGACCTTTTTCTTACGCACTCGGACATTTGCGCACCTTTTTTTCCGCACTTAGCCCATTAGCGCACCTTTTTCGCGTTTTAAAAAAGCTCTAAAAGCTAATATTAACCAATTTCTATTCCAAAAGTTGTTTCTCTAGGTAATTTTAGGGCGTAGAATCGAAATTTTGACATATCAGAGCTTGTGGAAGCGAACGGACGGAGTTATACAAAGAGAAAAATCGACATTTTTCTGTAATTTGATCTAGCCGTTTTGTCTTTCAAATTGGTAATTGGGAACTAAATAGAAACTATAAAGGCACTAAATAGGAACTAAATAGGAACCAAATTTCTTTTAACAATTGTCACCTTATCGCCTTCTTTCAAATTGGTTCCACAAGCTCTGATATGCCAAAATTTCGATTCTACGCCCTAAAATTACCTAGAAAAACAACATTTGGAATAGAAATTGGTTAATATTAGCTTTTAGAGCTTTTTTAAAACGCGAAAAAGGTGCGCTAATGGGCTAAGTGCGGAAAAAAAGGTGCGCAAATGTCCGAGTGCGCAAGAAAAAGGTCGCATTTGTCCCACTCCCCTTTTTTTTCAATGAAATTAGATAGTATTCTTTATGTTTAAGATTAAAACTAAGATAAAGATAAAGATCAAAATAAAGATAGAGTGTCAAATCTAAAGTTAAACAACCCTGCATTTCAAATTTTCTTTTAACAATTGTCTTTTAACAATCACCTTATCGCCTTTTTGTCGTACATTGACGACCGCTCCACAAATGTATTCTCCATGATTCTCGAATTGTTCTCCGAGAATCGCCATCAACAACTCAAGCCAATAATTATCAAGAAGTTGCTGTCTGAAATTGACTTTTTCAAATTTGATCACCGTTTACTCAATGACCTTTTTTGTTTATCGACAACAACAAGCCACCTTCCTCCTTTCACATTACTTTCATCTTCCCACATTGGACGAATATTCTAAAGAGTAGTTCAATTTTTCATCTATTATTATCATTAAACTTCTTTGAAAAGATAATAATCAGAGCCCCAGCTGAGTCCACTAGCTGTTTGAATATGATTGTAAAGTGACCAAAAATCCTCGACTGTTTCAAAAACGGCTACTTGTTTTAGGCATTCTTCCCAATCTTTGTTTCGGTCGGCCTAAAAAAAATTTTGTTTAACTTTCAGTGTTGAATTCTGTAAAGATCTAGAAAATAGAAAGTTTCCGGGCATTTATTGCTAATCAGTTCCAAACCTTGAGATACCAGAGCGCCCATCGATGCTGCAGCGGATGGCGGAGTTCATGCGGAGGCACAACACCACCCTCGTCTTTATTTTCACTCTAAGAATCTAGTACATTGAAATTCAAATAAACTCTTCACCTGGCTAGCACTATTTTCTGGATCCTCGACTTCATTTGTTGAACTTTGAGACTTTTCAGCGCCTTTTTCTGACATCTTCAAGACTTCAGCCTTCTTTTTCTAAGATCTTTAAAAGAATATGATTGTAAAGCTTTAATAATTTTAGATTAATTGTTTCCAAAAATGGAAATGAGGTAGTTTTTTTAAGTCGTCAATGAGATTTGAATTCTTATTCGATCACAAACACTTTTCTTCTCTGCAGAAAAGAGCGAATACGATGGGAAAGGCGTAGATTTGCGATTACACGAATTGGAGAGGAAAATCGAATAGTTAAACAAGAGGAGTTCATCTAGATATTAAAAATAAATATAAAGAAGCAAAGTTGTAACGTTTTTTTATTTAAAAAGCGATTGTATAATTTGTTGTTTAATAAAAATGGATTTATCGAGTTTTATTTATTCTTTTAGGACACAAAAATCAAAAATCGAATGACGAAAGTTTTTATTACCAGAGTTCTCTAACATTTTTGCTTTTGTTGTTTTTTTGTTGTTTGTAAAACTCTAAAACTCTAATTGCGTGTTCCTTTTTACGACATTTTGGCATATCAGAGCTTGTGGAAGCGAACGGACGGAGTTATACAAAGAGAAAAATCAACAATTTTCTGTAATTTGACCTAGCCGTTTTGTCTTTCAAATTGGTAATTGGGAACTAAATAGAAACTATAAAGGCACTAAATAGGAACCAAATAGGAACTAAATAGGAACTAAATAGGGACTAAATAGGAACTAAATTTCTTTTAACAATTGTCACCTTATCACCTTCTTTCAAATTGGTTTCACACGCTCTGATATGTCAAAATTTCGATTCTACGCCCTAAAATTACCTAGAAAAACAACTTTTGGAATAGAAATTGGTTAACATTAGCTTTTAGAGCTTTTTTAAAACGCGAAAAAAGGTGCGCTAATGGGCTAAGTGCGGAAAAAAAGGTGCGCAAATGACGAAAGTTTTTGTTACCAGAGTTCTCTAACATTTTAGCTTTTGTTGTTTTTTTGTTGTTTGTAAAACTCGAAAACTCTAATTGCGTGTTCTTTTTTACGACATTTACGAAAAATTTGAGTGTTTCCATTTATCGAAACCTCAAATCCCAACTGATTACCTAAAAAAAGCCTACTTAAAACAGCAGTACCCAAAAGTAATGATAATAATAATAATAATAATAGCTAATGACGAGCTAATGACGAATTTTTAATCATATTATCTTTGATTTTACAATTTTGCTAAGAAAAATTAAGACAACGAAGCGGCTAGAAATTTCGCGGCTCATTTTTTTAATCGCCTTTACTTTAAGGGTATTATCCGCACAGATTGAGCAAAAATTATCATCAAATTTTTTTATTTTTGGTGATCAGAGTGATTTAGTGTGTGAGCAAAAGAAATAAAAAAAGAAAAAAGGGAAATGAATTTCTTTTTTGGAAGGAATTTGTCGAGAACGATGGGAGAGACAACAGTCGACCCCTCCCTCCTCTGCTTGCCGATTGCAATTCCCCGAAAAGACTCTTGCCATTTTCATTTCATTTTCGCTCACATCTGAACGTTGCTTTTACTCTCACCAATCCCATTTCAACCTTCAAAAATGAGCCCTCCAGGTTTGGATTTTTTTGTTTGTTTTGAGAAAATACATAAAAAGTTTTTAAGCTACAAAAATTAGTTAATCGTTTTATCGCTTAAAATAGAAAACATTCCAAACAAAAAGGCCATCGGAAGCTATGAAAAAGAGAAGCTTTTTCATAGCTTCCGATGGCCTTTCAATGAGCAAAAAAAAGCGTCGTAACTGCTCTTGATTGCTATACAACAATAGTTTTTTTTCGGGAAAATTGGATACAAATTGTGGACCTTTGGCTTTGATGTTTTGCGCCTGTCGTGACTGTAGTCAACCTATGCTTTTCCCTTTTCATCTTTTCATTGACGATCTTGTCATCAATGTTAAAGCTTCCTTGTTTTTTGAATTTTAATGATAGCTGTTTGATGTTGATTGTTAAAAGTTAAGCATTTTTATGAGAAGTAGTTGAAAATAAAATTGTATTTGAAACAAAGAACAACTGACTTTGCAAATTCAAAAAAGTAAAAGAAAAAAGTAGAATGGTGGACTCGGACTAGAGAGGCTATGCCTTATATTTTGATCTACTGCCAATCTACTGCCACCGTTTCTTTCTTCTTCTCCTTCTTCTTCTTCTTCTTCTTCTTCTTCTTCTTCTTCTTCTTCTTCTTCTTCCTCTTCTTCTTCCTCTTCTTCTTCCTCTTCTTCTTCTTCCTCTTCTTCTTCTTCTTCTTTACTCTATCGGAAACAATGAAGGAAATGTTTTTATTTTAGTTATTTTTTAATATTCTATGCATTCTATGAAAATCAGTAATTTGCCATCCAAACATTTTTTAATATGACATTTTGTATAAGTTTTTACAAAGGCATAATTGCATCCAACTTTTAGCCTACTTTGGAAATATTTTCAGAAAAAAAGTGTGCCTTTCATCTCAGTATTGATCTCTTAAGTTTAGTTGAGGCAATAAATCCCTTAAAGTCAATGGAAAGGTCATTACGGGGTAACCTTCAATGATGTTAAGTTATTTGAAATTCTTTATTTCATCAACCACTCTCTTTTACGCGAAATTTCCGAAGAGTTAGCGATTGACCAGCATTTTAAATCAATCATGCACTTGAATTCTAAACAAAACTAAAAAAACTAATAAAACTTTGAATTCTATATGACCGATCGGACATCCTGAAGTGGTAATGAGTTGAAGCCAGTGCCGCTCAAACTTATGAGATAGACGAGATGAGATAAACATTTTTACCCTATATTATGCAATCGAACAAATGAGATTCTAACCGTAATTTTCAAGAAAAATGCTAATGGTTTGCTTAGGTAGGAGAAGGTTGAAAACGGTGTCAAGTCAAATTTTTATAAGAAGTTTATAATCTCGGTATTCTGGAATTTAAGTCGCTCTATCTTTTTCAAAAGTTTCGAATATTAACCCAGTCCTTAGTGCAACAATTTACTCTAAACAATGCAGGAAATCAGTATTTAAGAAAGAAAGATAAGAAAGAGATCTCAAAAGAAAAAAAAAAGTCATCATTTTCGTGTTTCGAAGAGAACTTATTCAAAGTTAAACTTACTTGAATTTTTGGTTGAATTACTTGAGTTACTTGCACATTCATAAGACAACCCTAAACGTCTCCTATTCATCTGCCATTTGTTCAATGAAATGCGTAAAGATCTAATCAGAAAACTTTTTTGATTTAAGAGATTTAGGCTAACATTGGCTTTCTCTTTGTTTTCATTCAAAAACCAAGAATTTTCTATAAGAGCGATGTTAGTTTTCTGCCAGTAAAGTGAGTTTAAATCATATAAAACAATGACGTATATTTGAAATGACGCATGTTTAAATGCTGAATAAAATTTAATAGTTTCAATACGCCGATAGTCGCCGCTACAAACTACAAGGATGGACTACAAACGCTTGTAGAAACGCATAGAATGGCTATTTTTACAAAGTGTTTTTACCAAAAAAATTGTGTCAACATTGGGCTTTTTGAATGACATTTCGAAGTCGATCCACCATCTTTGCGCTAAAATATGACGTTTTTTCCAGTTTTGTAGTCCTATCTCATGGGAGGAGACTACAAACTACAAATGAGACTATTTATAACAATAAAATAACACGTTATCGGTACATAGATGATGAATTCGTCTGATTTTGGTGCCATTCGAAAGCCCAAAGTTGGCTCGATTTTTTTTTTTGGTGAAAACAGTTTGTAAACATCGTCATTCTACGCGTTTCTGCAAGCATTTGTAGCGTCTATCGTCAATCCAATAAAAAAATCAAGATACAATTCTTGGCCACAAAAACTTCCTTCGTCATCTTTCTCTCTCTCTCTCTCTCTCACTTTATTTCAAAACAAAGGTCTCCCCTGGCACGTGAATGAGTGTCAAGCTTTCATCTTTTGTTTACCATTCATAAAAGTCTCAAAAATTAATCATGTCTATTTATTTTGTCGACGGGGATGCGTCTGTACGTATTATAAAGTTGACGCCTTTTGGTGTTATAGGAAAAATCAGGAGACCTAGAGGGTTGAGGGGGTCACGCATCACTTTGATCAGCGTCTTCAGAACAACAGGACATTTCTTATCACCCATTTCCCCCTCCCCTCCCCCTCCGCCCTTTTTGCCGAATCTCTATAAATTGAATCCAAACAAACACCTCTTTAAACCTCTCCGAAAAACATTTTCACTTGATTCTCGAAATGGCCGCTGCCACTGCCGAAATGCGAACTTTTTGGTGTTCATCGACTACAGGTTGATCTTCATCCATTTATTTCTCCCCTTTAACATTATTCACACGAATAATATGGTATAAACAATATAAAAGCATAACCTCTAAATGTTGGGGAGAAAAAACTCATAGAGATGGAATCAATAATCTAGCCGACGGGATTGAACCTTCCGATTAAGATACAGGACTCTTAGCCAGTCGGCCAGCCGAAGTTGCGAACGCGTATCGTACTTTTCAATCTTTTCAACCAAAATCTTTAAACTGACGCTTTCCTCGTGAGAAAATTTTGACAAATTCCTTTCTCCTTTCACTGATATCGAGGAAACGGATCTAACAAAAATTTCGCTTTCAATTTGTCAAAATGCAAAAAAAAACACTGTTTTTATGTTTCAGTTGCCCCTATAAATCCTCAATTTATGGAAGAAGCCGTGCAAGAGGCGATCAACGGCATGACACAGGTTCATTTCGATTCTGTTTTTACATTGTTTAACATTTTGACTTAACATTTTGAGTTAACATTTTTAAAACTAATCTTTTGTCAGGGTAAAGGCGGACCATTCGGCGCCGTTATTGTGCAAGATGGGAAAATCGTGGCCAAAGGACATAATCAGGTATTTATTAAGCATTATCTTTATACGATTATATCAAAAAAGTTTTTAATATATGAAATATCAACATTCCTTTACAACATTTTTTTTAGGTCCTTCATGACTGTGACCCAACCGCACACGCTGAAATCACAGTGATCCGTCGCGCTTGTGAAAACCTTCAGGTATCAGAATAAATAGACACTTCAACAGCACACCAAACAACTATTGTATCTTCTTATATTTCACACTTCAGAAATACGATCTCTCGGGTTGTGTCCTGTACACTTCGTGCTATCCATGTCCTATGTGCATGGGCGCTGCTTTATGGGCTCGTCTCGATGCTATTTATTATGGAGCCACTTCTGCTGAGGTAATCATTTTTGGTCGTACTTTTTTTGGCTCATATTTACCCCGCACAAATATCGAACAAACAAGTTTATCAATTTGGGCAAAACTACTTTCGGGTTTCGTAAACAATTCTCCCTTTTCCCCCTTATCAATGCCACCTTTTCGGCGAGCAAAAATTGATCAACGTAACTTTTTTGGACAAAGAACACAGATATTGATAATGAAAAATTGAAAGGTGATACAAAATTTGAATCAAGAATTGTGGATCAAGAAATAACCATGGTCATTAAGAGCTCATGAAGAGACATTAAGATCATTCAGGGTCATTAAGCTCAAGAGACAAATGTAAGAGTCAGTCGTACTTGTGAATCTGACGCTGAATGGGAAATCTAGAATGTAGATCTTAGATTTAAATTGCATAGATAAACCTAAGATTTCCTATCAAAATGAAGGACTCAAGCTCTGTTACTTTAACAACTTTAGGCTGCTGCTGTCGGATTTTCCGATGCCGAGTTTCACGAGTTCCTCAAGAACCCGAAGAGTGATTCGAAGCGTTCCCTCGAGTGGTTTGTTCATTATTTTATCAGCTAGATATTTTTTTGACAAATAACACCTTTCAATGCATTACTTTTCAGCATCAAATTGGATGACGTCACTCGACCATTCCGCATTTGGCATGAAATGGAAAACAAACAACCTTACTAAATTCATGACAAAACATATCACAACCGTTTCATTTTTTTTCAATGACTTTTAAGATGATTGAAACTTTTTGCATAATAAATTTTTGGATTTGTTAGCAATGATAGTGACAGAGAGTGTTGATCTGACTAATTGTAAGTCAATCAAAACTTTCACTGGATATTTCACAGATCACAGTGTGTCAAACAAACATACCGTAAATACTGTAATAGTACCGCACCCCCATAATGACGATGCGGAGTGTTGCGTAGTCAAGCTTTGAACGAGTTTTTCTCGACACTGGTTTATGCTACAATGCGCGCTTAGGTATCAAAAAATAGCCCTGAATTTCAGCTATTTTTTTGATACCAAAGACGCATTTTTTGAAAGTACGGGCGCTTTGAAAAAAAATGAAATACTAAAAACTACTTTTGCGACTACGCGACTGTACGAGGGGGATGGGGTTACATTTTTTTTTGGTACTATTACAGTATTTACGGTATGTACTTTTAGGTACTATTACAGTATTTACGGTATGTACCAAAATGGCTTACCTGCATAAGAGAATTGCTTATTTTATTTAAAAATTGAAATCTTTCACAGTATTTTCTCAAAGAATTTACTCTCAAATGAAGAGATTCTTTTTTTTTTTTTCCCCTTTTCCCAACCGTATTCCAGATGTGCCTCGACAATTTATTTTGCGGACATTCGAGAGTCAGTCTTCTGCTTCTAGTCAACACATTTCTCAAAATTCATCATCAGCTTAAACCCTTAAATTCTTAAATTCATTAAAATGACTCAAATCGTTGCTGCTATAACTCTACTTTTTGGTAATTACAAACAAAAAAAAAGTTACCGTAAACCCTTTTCATTTCAGTTACCTGTTCGGCTTCAAAACTTTTTTGTCGTCGAAATTCATGTTATCGGGTAAAATATATTAATAAATTTTTTAAAAAAAGGGGTAGAGCTAGAAATTTAGCTAGAACTTGCAATGCTTCCTTTCGATGACGCGGAAAAGGCGTGTAGTTTAAAGGATGGACATCTCGCCTATGTTCCCGATCGAGAAACCAATGATTTTCTCGTGAATGCTTTTGGTTGGTAAAAAGGCAAAAATTGACTCTTAAAGACAAAGTACAGGCAGTGAAATCGGTGGACGAGTGTGGATCGGCTTGAAATTCAACGCGAATTACGAGAAATGGCAATGGACCAATGGAAAACCGGCCGGCTATCATCATGCCGATAATATTCCCTTTCACTCTTATCAAGTCGCCATTACGGTTTTTTTTTCAGTAATATATCATATCATGGATTTTATCATAGTCATTTATTAAGTAAAAAGATTTCTAGATTGTAAATTCGGGTCAATGGGTCGAGGAAAGTCTTGGCAATTCACACGCGAGAATCTGTGAATTCCCCCACGCAAGAGATGAGGTAAATAAAAGATTTAAGAAGAAGAAGAAGAAAAAGAAGTTAGTGTAGGTTTTGTTAATGGTTTCGCATTTCGTTTTTACCAAATCATTGCAGATTTTCGAGCGCATTCACACAGAACTCTACGCAAATGTCACCAATGAGCTTGTCTCGAGAATGAACAAATCTGAAACTGAAAAAAGATTTATTTTACAAGTGATTCTTTCATAAAACTGTTATGAATCAATGAGTCAATGAATTAATGAGTCAATGAATCAATGAGTCAATGAATCAATGAGTCAATGAATCAATGAGTCAATGAGTCAATGAATCAATGAATCAATGAATCATCAATCAAAATAGGTGGCAAACGATACGATGCACAGTTTGATGTTCATCTCGGATATCCTCAACACAATGGAGAGCAATCTTACCGATGCAAGAGAGGTTTAATACGAGATAAAAAGCTTAACAAAGCTTAACAAACATTCTTTTCAATTTCAAAACTTTTCAGGATATCGATCTTTTATTGGATCAACTCCTCGAAGCGAATACCGTACTCGCGGGAAATCATCGAGATCTCATTCAAGCTGACAATTTCACAAAACAAGTGCCTAACAATAGTTCTTTTTTTACATTCCTTTAGACATTTCGTGACTCTTTACAACAATTTGTTATCGAATTTCAACGAGAAGAGAGCTCAACCCGGACACAATTCGTTTGTTCTTGTTGTCACCTCAAAAAACCCCGATCTTTAGCTTTTCACCAGTTTCCTCATTTTGACATCTTTAACAGGTTTTCTGGCATTTGTAGCGTATCGGAAAAATTGGATTCAAATGGGCAAAGTGTCTTCAATTTTTAAGTATTTTCCTTCAAAAAGAAAAATTGTGTTCAAATTGTCTTTTTAGATTGCCGAAATTTCGTTCGAATTCGAATAACGACAACAATCCGATCGTAAATCAAAGTTATGTGGAGAATGTGTAATAAAAGCTATTTTGTTTTTTTGAATCAATCAACTTCCCCAACACAAACAATACATTTTCACCGTATCTTTGTGAAATCGAAAGCTAAAAGTTTTCACCGTATCTTTGCAAATCTCGGGAAGCTAAAAGTAGTGTGAGCCCTTGAAACGCGACTATTGCAATTAGAAATAGTCAACTTGTTTCTAAAGTTCTTCACTTTTGCACTCGCTACCAAGATGCATATGGTATAACTGATATGCAACCTGTTTAAAAGTGCTCCCGGGAGTCGAACTCGGCCCATCAAAGTGGCCGTCAAACTGAGAGAAAAACATCTTATCCCCTACACCACGCGCCCATTGGTCGAAAGGCCGAGATTTCGGGCCGAAATACACCAAATCGATGCTTTATTTTGGGCTGAAAAAACACCAAATCGATGCTTTTTTTTGGGCATTCTATTTTGAAAATTGTTTACAAAAAGAGATTTGAAGTGTAAAGAGAAAAATAAATTCGAAATGGCCACATGTGGACTGAATGAAGGAATCGGGGATCTCTCTATTCATTTTCCTTCTCCAATCCACTCAACGAATGAACTCATTTCATATTTTTGAGCTCTATATTTTCATTAGCTGCTTTATTGTCGCATTTTCACAGGATTTCAAAACAAAAGCAAAGGCCAGTTTACCCAAATGGTGTCTGGAAAGATCTTGTTATGAGGTGGGAAGAGTTCAAAAATTTCTTGAAAGGCAAGCACTGACTTTTTGGTGATTAAAAACAACTTTTTATGGCATTCTATTCCATTATTTCAAGCATTTTGAGGATAGGCAATTAATAAAAATTCCAAAAGATTATAGAAAAGCAGACGTTATGTTTGCTCGCCAAACTCTGCGAGTTTTTACTCGCTATAAACATAATATCATTTTTCTCATAAGCTTTTCCGATATGATGTATTGTCCACCAATTTTGAGGTTGGACAATTTATTCAAAAAACCAGTCTATAAATGAGTGTATAGGGCTATAAACTAAATTACACTATTGAAAATTGTCCAGAATGAAAATTTGTCAAAAATTTTTCATTTTAAACACGATTAACCACGAAGTAGCCCTTGGCGGGTTACGGTAAACAGCTTATAAGAAAAATACCATTTTATGAGACGTCTAAACATTTGATCATTTTATTTGTTTTAAGGAGTTTAGAAGCTTGACTTTATTGTTTAAGTTGATAAAAAGATAAAAAGTTGTTTTGAATTATCAAAAAGATTTTATTGATAGAAAAAGAAAAAGCAAAAAGAAATGGAAAGGGGAAACGAAGCAGGGTAAAAAAAGGAGGGGCTAGTGCTCTCGTAACCGTAACCACTATCACCTCGGTCACGCAGCCACTTTTTAAAGGGGGTTTGACAATCGCGGCTGATTCTAAGTGAAACATTTTTTTGCAAATAATCACCATGATGTTTTAATTGAGTAAGAAACAACTTGCTAACACCAAAAATAAATCGGCTAAAGATTTATGATTGGTTTTAACCGATTCAAACGCGGAAGGACACTCTTCATCTGCAAATCGGCTGAAAAATCACTTTCTTCTTTTTGAAATACGTTTTTATGTTTCGGTTTTTTTACTTTTTTTATATTGATATGGATTCGGATAAAGAGTAGGCTAAGAAAATTTATTATTATTATAATATAATTTATTATTATAATATAATTATTATTATAATATAATTTATTATTATAATATAATTATTATTATAATATAATTTATTATTATAATATAATTATTATTATTAAATTTATTATTATTATTAAATTTATTATTATATTAGGTTGGTGCAGATGAAACTTCCGTTGGAACCATAAACAAAATTTATTATAAAAATCCTAATACAGAACCTCAATCCAAAAGATATTCGCCATCATTATCAATGACTCTTTGCCATCTTCCACGTAGAGAATGGATGCCCTTTTCGAAGAACTCGGGCAACTGCGACTCGAAGAAGTTGGACACCCAGATTTCAACTTCTTCGCGGTTTTTGAATTTTTTTTCTGCTAGAGAGTGCTGCATCGACCGAAACAAGTGGTAGTCGGATGGGGCCAAATCCGGGCTATATGGCGGATGAGGCAGAACTTCCCAGCCCAATTCCTCGATTTTCTGCTGGGTGATCTTTGCGGTGTGGGGTCGAGCGTTATCGTGGAGGAATTTTGTAGTCGCCGTGTTATTGCCTTGACGACGCAATGCCTGGTCCACGCGGCTCAATTGGGCTTTGTAGAGATCCGCCGTGACTCTTTGGCCCGAATCCAGCACCTCAAAATACACGAGACCTTTACTATTCCACCAAATACAAAGCATCACCTTTTTTCCGTGGACACTCGGTTTGGGAGTCGGTTTTGGCGGTTCACCGGCGTCCAACCACTGCCGTTTTCTTGTTGTGTTGTCGTAACATATCCACTTTTCATCTGCCGTAACAATGGAGTCGAGAAAACCGGCGGTCTTTGCGCGGCGGACGAGAATTCCAGACATTGTAGCTCGAGTCGCTTTGTTTGCGTCGCTGAGCTGATGTGGCACCCATTTTCCACACCGATTCGTCTTACCAATTGCGTGCAAATGGCGGAGAATGGTTGTATGGTCGCAGTCAAACAGCTCTGCAAGCTCCCGAGTTGTTTGGCATGGATCCGATTCGATAGCGTTCTTCAACTCATCGTTGTCGACAATTTGAGGTGGATTCCCGCGTTTTTCGTCTTCCAAACTCTCATCACCGTCTCGGAAGCGCTGAAACCAAGTCCGGCATTGACGTTCGGACAACACGTCATCGCCGAATGCTTTGCACAGAGCACCATGAGATTCCGTAGGCGTTCTGCCTTGTTTAAAATCATACAACAAGCAAACCCGCACTCGAAATTTTTCGTCAACCATTTTCTAGAAGCTAAAAATTACTTCAAATTAAGTAAAACGCATAAGTCTTAGATATCAAAAGACGCGCAAAGAGACGCTCTTTCAGATAGACAAATATCTTCAATAAAAACTTTTATCAGGTTCAAAATGTAAACAAACAAGTGTGACGGAAGTTTCATCTGCACCAACCTAATATTATTATTATTTATTACCTTCATTTATTATCGCCGAATTGTCCCAATTGGAGCTTTTACTTCAGCATTGTCATACTTGTGGAAACTTCCCAGGTGGATGAAGCAAAGGAAAAGCTCGGAATATCAATTGAACTGCTAATGAAACTAGTTTAACTGCTATTACTCAATGTTTCTGCTCCTCAAGGATTCACGGATTAGGTGGCCAACTCAATCTTTTATTCAAAAAACCGAAACGAGAAAAATTTTTCACTTAGCTCGGAAAAATGTTCCTGCTCCTCAAGGGTTCACGGATTAGGTGGCCGCGATTGTCACACCCCCTTTAAGGGATTGCGTAGAGACCCCAAATAGAGATCAAAAATCCATTCAAAACTTGTAAGTCAGATCTCTTGCGTTACAGGCCACGAGCGCAAAAACTAAAAGCAGATTCGAACTCAGCGTGGCCGATTCTATAAGATGAATTTGGTCTCGTTCAAGTGCTTGCCTTTCCCTAGTGAGAAAAGAAAAAAAAAGCACACATAAAATTTATAATAAAATTTACAGTACAACGAGACACTGGCTAATTACGATACTCATGCCTTTGCTTGTATAAAACGAGGAGGAAATCTTGCGCACATTCCCACAAAACGAGTCAACGATTTCTTGGCCGGAATTGGTTTATTTCAAAATCAAAAACGAAAACGGCTTATATTACAGTGATATTAGCAAGATTACAACACACACCATTCATTGGATATCACTTTAATGTTTATCGTGGTTCTTATGAATGGATTAGCGGACATTCAATTGGATATCAACCGAAAATCGACACCTCAAATATTGCTTACGCGTATTGGACAAGTGAAGCGGCTGCTGTCGTAAGTTGTTTAGTTAACTACCCTCTGGAGTAAGGGAAAACAAGCGCGTTTTGGTGTAATGACACAGTTTCCCGGTAAGCGAAAGGTCACGGGTTCGAGTCCCGACGACGCGCAAGTCTTTGATCTGCCCTACTTCTAATTGTGTTCATTGAAAGATAAATTGAAACAAAGAAATTGAAATCATAACTAGAGCTAGATTCTGGCTTCATAACTAGAGCTAAATCTAGAATTTAGATCAATTTAGATCAATTTAGATCAATTTAGATCAATTTAGATCAATTTAGATCAATTTAGATCAATTCAAGAGGCCAATGGGTTTTGTACCGAAAAAACTCAGTGACAAGCTCAGCGTTTTGTGAAATCCCCCTTATCAATCAAGTAAATAAAGGAAATTCATTGAAAATACGAGGATTTTTTTCTTTAGAATAACTTTCAAGAAAGTTTCGAAGCGAACTTTTCAAAATTGGTCGATGCAGCTTTGGCGAAACAACGTCAAAACAAACTCGATGTTCTGGAAATTTTGGTTTCTTTGCTTGATAATTTATATCACAAAAGTGTTAAGTTATACAACGGTCGACTTTTTGCAAAGAATATCAGCATGGACAAAATCGGCAATTTTCAGGAAGAACTTGTGGATCAACAAGAGGTAAAGACAAGAAAAGTTTTCAGATAAGGCTTTCAGAAGAGGCTTTGAGAAAAGGCTTTCAGATAAGGCTTTCAGATAAGGCTTTCAGTAAAGGCTTTCAGATAAGGCTTTCAGAAGAGGCTTTGAAAAAAGGCTTTGAGAAAAGGCTTTCAGAAGAGGCTTTGAGAAAAGGCTTTGAGAAAAGGCTTTCAGAAGAGGCTTTGAGAAAAGGCTTTGAGATAAGGCTTTGAGATAAGGCTTTGAGATAAGGCTTTGAGATAAGGCTTTGAGATAAGGCTTTCAGACAAGGCTTTCAGATAAAGCTTTCAGTAAAGGCTTTCAGAAAAAGCTTTCAGAAAAGGCTTTCAGATAAGGCTTTCAGATAATTCTGTTCTTGCTTCAACAAATCCACGATTTTTATAAGGAAATTGATGTCACAAATATTGAAGCGATTTCTCAATT